CAGTAAATGTAATAGCTAAACGGGTTTTAAAAAAACTGAGTTTTCCGTACAAAAAATAAGCTTTTCCTCTTTCTCTCTCTATTTATATATATATATATATATATATATATATATATAATGTTTCAGAAATTGTGGAATGTTTTACACTATTCAGATCTACCCAGTATAGTGTGGACCCGAAAAAAGTTTCATTTGTTAAGTAAACACTTTTGTATATGGTTTTGGGACGCTTCTATGTAACGGCGGGTGATACCACCTGTCAACTTGAAGCACAAAGGCTAAAGTAAGATTTTAGTCTGCGACCTATTGAAAATCAAGCATCGTAACTGATAGACCATTGCTCCATAAGGCTTTCAATATATATAACTCACTAATATTCACCATTTGCTTTACCAAAATATTCGTCATGTGGTAGGGGCAGACTACTAGGCTGAAATCCATGAAATAATCGCGAACGGTATAGGACGGCTCTGAGCGACATGGCTCAAAATTATTTCCAACAGCGAAGATTCATCACTCCTAATTTTCTCCGCCATCTTTAGTCACATTATTTTATCGTAGAAGTTATTTCACTGAATTCCTGCCATATTTTCAATGCACAGTCGCAATTGGATACTTAGGTTCCTACAACTACTTGTCATTGCTGACGTTTATGATGATGAAATGTACTAATTTTCAACATTATTTCGAACGATACAGTAAACGTATTTTCGCACGATAGTTGGTTACCACATTTATTATTTTTATTTCCCCTTACTAAATTTACAGAGTAACATTCATAATTCCATAAGCTACTATCTGGATAGGATAGCTCACAGATTCATTCTAAGTGAATAAAAGTGTTAGGCAAAAAGGGCGCTTATTCTGGTGGTCAACTGAGTTATAAAGACTTCCACATCTCAGGCGAAGCACCGAACACAATGGACAGCTCGGATGTGGCTGCACGATTTACACTACCCAGATGACCTAGCTCCTCTATCCCATACACACCAAGAAATGCAGGTGAGGACAGCCAGTGAAGCAGCATATTCTGTAACTGTAGGCCTCAACATACACAAGGCAGAAGTCAGATCCTAAAGTTCAACACAACGAGCACTAACCAAATCACACTTGATGAAGAAGCTATGGAAGAGGTGGAAAGCTCCATGTGCCTGAGCAGTATCATTGATAAACAAGGAGGATGTGATGCAAATATAAAGGCAAGGATTAGCAAAGCGAGACCGACATTCCTACAACTGAAGAAAATGTAGAACTCAAAGCATCTGCCAGCCAACATCCAAGTCAGAATCTTCAATACGAACGTGAGGAAAGTGCTATTATACTGAGATGAAACTTGGAGAACTACTACAACCATCGTCAACAGTGTACAGGTATTTGTGAACAATCGTCTACGCAACGTCGACTGGACGTTCGTTTGTCGGATAGCATCAGCAAAACTCCACTGTGGGAGAGAATAAACCAGCTTCCATCTGAAGAGGAAATTAGGAGAAGATGCTGAAGATGGATAGCACATAGATTGAGAAAAGCAACAAACTGCTTCATCTTCGTCAGATGTGTTACACAACATGTTAGACACATTTCTCTCGTACACGTAATGTCGGTTTCAGCTGGTGGATTTTAATTGTTCGGCTAAACACAGGTGCCGTATGCTAACTCTACGAACCAGCTTTCTATTGAATGGCATGGTAGTTTTATGAAATTCAGCTGCAATCGTGTAAACTGCTTCTTTCCATCTAAAGCCCAACTCTACAATATCTATGTCTATGATTTGTATACCACAATGGAGATATAACTGATGTTATTCATTAACAGTAACTCTACTCTATAAATTTCATTCATTAAAAACCTTCATAATAACAAAACAACTTTCCACTCTTTTATTGATACCCTACTTTAATTCTTTGAAATGTTAATTAGCTCTATTTATTATCATGCAACGTATACTAAATAGTTGACAGACGTTAAATAAAATGTTTTTAAACCTTAACATACAACGTTGGCATTATACTAAATCATATGTTATATATTGAGTAAGTATGGGTATCCATCAATAAATTTAAGATGTTTAGTTACTCATAGACATGTCAACCTCAACATATCTGCAATCTATAAATTGATAACTTAAGAAATGACAATACTCAAAGTGAATAAATCATAAACATATAAGTAAAACACTTACATTACACAATTAGTTGTTATCATTCCGTCAACCAATTAGATTCACACCATGCTATTTTTAGTAAAGCGACTAATCATACTAACTCTTTACAAAAACAGAAAGACTACTAATTCATAATAATACAAAATGCCTTAAGTATAAGAATCAGTGATTGGAAACAAAAATAAATTATATTCATGATTGATATTAATTACACGAAAATGTTTATTCTTAATGTAGAGTTTTGTTGGATAAATCAGGAATTCTGTTATCACTTTTATTTAATGAGAAGACTAATAATTAGACATATTTTTCCTCTTAACGACTTTCCAGTATCAATAGTCGAATATGTAAGGATTGTTGGATATCATGAACATTCCATTTTTAAAGTAACATTTCAATGTGGTGGATGCAACGTTTGGTCAATAAACACAGAAGATTGTATTAATAAGACTTTGTAATTTCCCACTAGTGATATTTTGTACTACAATTTATTAGTCTGTGTTGATAAATATAAGCAATCTGAGTCAATTGTCTCGATATAGTTTACGTCATAAGTTGTGGCACATTTGACACATTGCTAGCTGTGGAATCGCCAGGACACACGCTTAAACATCAACACTAGGACGCGTGTACACAAAGCTGGGAAGTCCAAAAAAGAACGTAACTCATGTTCTGGATTCCATTGCGCGTCACATGCTAAATATATCTGAACAACTGACTAAATTTGAATAGATTGAGTACAAACCGATGTTTCGAAACATTTTGACCTCAGAATAGTAATCAAACTAGTTGGATATATGGAAATACTTGATTAACTATAACTTTGTATCAGCAGCAATAAACTGCTTAATAACCAATCTGAACATGAATACAGAAACTGCGTTTGAAAGTCATCACGGAAACAACAATATACTGACCTACGATTCACTGTCTACTGATACAGTAACTTATTTGATACTACAAGGCTGAATTACTTGTCTGATGAAAGCATGCAAAATCTATTTTACTGATGGTTTTCGAGATGTATTTAATCTGTGATTGACTAATAACAGTTGGGAGAGAAGTTAGCATGATGAATTTCATGGTGAATTGGTTAGTGAAACTTGGATCTACTAAGATGGTTCCTCAAATTAATCAACCACCTTGAATAGTGTTTGTGCATTATAATGTCTTCAGTATTTTAAACTGGGACTCACTGAAGAGTAGAAATCAGTGGTGTATTACTTAGAATGACATGGCTCATATTCAAATGCAGATATCCAGATTTGTTTACAATATTATAGAAGATTAATCAAAAAAGAAATAGCCAGACACTCGATGAGTAATTATCCTAAATTTGTCATATCATTTTAGTTTATTCAAACATTTTGTCTATATTCTCAAATTCTCATAAGTGATGTTTCATTTTCCTACCTACACGATGCTGAATAAGCTTTGAAATCGTTCTATTTATTCCGTTTTAAAATATAATACTGGTCACACTGTTGAATATAGTTGAGATAAATGTGCTTAATAGTGACTAGCTTCGAGAGGGAATTTCCTAGGTTGTAGTGAGAATCTGTAACCAATGGAGCTAATCTATGCCAAGTGTGATGCAGTTGCCCACCGAAGATAATAGAACATGGTCACGCAATTTTGTGGATGGATTAAGTTTAAGCATTAACACCGTTGGGTGTCGGCTCAGTGGTCTAAATGTTGCGCGTCCACGAACAAGCTTGAAGGCTCTGGGTTCTATTCCCACGTACTGGATCGTAGATACTCACTGCTGAGAAGTTCCATACTCAGATGAGTCCGCCGTTCAATACTTTCAAGTTTTCAATGGTGGTATAACTTAGATAGGTTCATGATTTAAATGCAGTTTAACAATCTCCACACACGAAAACTGAAAAATTCATTGAATTGATTGAAATTAGTAACATAAACCATTGAGTTCCAACTCTGGTCTAAATGCTAGACGCTTGCTGTGGAGCCTGAAAACATGAATTCGATCCAGTTAGAATCTCCGAGGCTCACTGTGAAGGAGTCCTCATTCTCAGTGCTTTTCTAATGGAAATCAACCTTTAATGTAGAACTTCAAACTCAACAATCTACACATTACCCCATGAGAGATTCCTCAGAGTTATGTCGTCGGATTTCATAACCAAGTATTTTCAATGGGATTATTAGTAGCTGTAGCCTCTACTCGTCTACTCTTTACGGTTGAATTTTAACACACAAATCCTAGCAAATCGTAATCATATGATTGATATTTTGTATCAGATTCCAAACTATTATTTCCTAAGCTGTTTATAGTTTATGCGAAGTTTTGAAACAAGGTGAATTCACTTTATTCTGAAAATTTGGTTCATTTATTGTTCCTAGTTAAATTCTGTTTTCTTTGTTACATTTAATTAACAATCATTTTTAGAAACCTAAATTGTCATAGTCTTTCATCAAAATAAGTAGAAAGTAAGATTTACTGAAGAATTCCAATTTGATGTAAAACAAATTAGTGCGCAGTTACTGAAGATCCTAGACTATTAAATAATCGTTCTGTTTTTATTCATATATTCACAGTAATACTAATTTATGATAGAAGCGACTGAATTGCACTTTCTTCAATCTTATGATCACTAAGATGGCTTACATGACTATTATACTGGAGAAAAAGTGAAATAATTTTTTTTATTTACACCGGATTATTTAATTAATTTTATTTTTATCAATGATGATGAGAGATTTTCAAATTTTTAAATATTTGTCTCAGTGCACCAAGCAACAGTTCTACTGTTTATTAGTTAATTTTTAGTTATATGCGTAATGACAAAATATTGTGTTTATTTTTTCAAACTTTGAACAGATTTGCAACATTCGCCAACCAATTGACTTTTCACTTGAAGAAAAATTAGCAGCACAAAATTTGTCAGAGAAATCACAAATGTTAACTAAACTCAAAGAAAGAGATTTAGATTTAAAGGATATATCACAAATTAAATTTTTAAAGACTCTTTCAAAACGCCGTTCCCATATGGATTGTGCTTCAATGCAAGAAGCTAGACGAATCGCTTTTAACAATTACTATGAAAAAATATTATCTAGACAATGTTTAAATTTAACTTCATACTCGAAAGAACTATACAATGAAGAGGATGAAGACATCACTTTATTAAAAGAGAAATTGATAACTATGGAGCAAACTTATTCACAATTTCAAACTGAAGCATCAGCCAAGAAGAATTTAGGAAAAACAAGCAAAGAAAAACTCGCAAAACACCTCAAAACTGATAAAAAGCAAAAATTACCACAAGCAAGTGAAGATCTTTCTTTTGTAAAACCCCAAGAGACGATTAAATTACCGATAATTACTAATAATAAAGAGTCGGATTTACTTCTTGATCAAAGAACAAATGGATTTTTTCCAAAAGTTATTCTACTTGAAAGTGGACGTTCAAAGTATGGCTGGGCGCCTAATTCTTTACTTCTTGGCAAATATTATTCAGGAATAACTCACTCAGGAGTAGATGATAAAAGAAATGCGAATGAAGTCAACTGGGCTGACGTTGAAGCAAGATTAGCTAGGTCGGGTATTAACGGATTGCAAAGTACACTAACTTCGGACTCGAGTATAGGTTGGATAGTGGAGTCAGACAAAGAATTAACAATGTTCAGTAAAGAAATGAGTGACGGGGATATAACCGATGAGAATACAGATAAAAAGTTGCTTGCAAGTAGATTCCGGGATATAACCAACCCAATGAATACTTTATTTAGTATATCGACGTTACAAAATGAGATAAGTACTGAGATCGAACAAAGTCAAATGTCTATAACTGAAAAGTCAACACCATCGTCAAAAAAACGTGAAGCACTAGCCAAAAGTGATCTTAAGCAATCTTATTTGAAGGAAACAGATTTATTGTCTAATTTAATTGAAAGACAAGCACCTGGTCGTCCAAAATATGAACGAGAAAATACTATTTTCTTGACAGAATTCAGAAATACAGATTCTCCAGGGAAAATCGACAAATTTGTACTGCCTGAGTTCTTGCAATCCTTTAGAAATTCTAGATGGCTGTCAATTATGGGATTACTAAATGGTCAAGAACCTGAAGGATGGTCTGATTTAAATGCAGGTTCTAACGTTGACTGCTTTATTCATTGGCTGTTTTGGACAAATATTATACCAAAACTATGCTTACAAGCAACTTCACCATCTACAGAGGATGAAGATCCGTATCTTTGTCAGACTATTTCCCAATTTTGTACAGATTTTAAAACACTTTACACAGATCATCAGTTATCTGACAAGTACATTCCCGAATTACATCATTGCCTGACAGGATGCGTAATAAATGAATTAGGAAAAACAGTAGAATTCAAAGAATGGAAAATGTTGGAAGCAGTGAGCACACTTTTGATTACACTTGGTTTCCACGATATTGATACAGTGGTTATCTTACTAGTTTTGTATGTGAAAGTTCTACTAAACACCGAGAAAAACGATCCACAGGTTCCCGGAGAAATTAAAAATGCTAATTTAACACACTATATTCATCGTTCATTACAGTCACTTGGATTTCAAATTAAATATTGCAATTATCTTGAAGAAGAGCTAAGTAAACTAGGAAATATCGAAAGAAATGTGAAAATCACTCCACCAAAAAAAGTTATCCATCTACATGATTGTATTCATTTGGTGGAGAACATTGAAATATTAAACTGTTGGATTAAATTTTACAGATTATTATCTGTGTGGCTTGAGAATTGGTTCAGACAAAGCAGTGAAATAGCATCAAAGGTTTGTTGAAACTTTACCTCGTTCAAACATAGTTTTCTGTTCATTCATTTTTGTATCAGTTGTTTGAATATTCCCATTGATGTTTATGATTGCAACTGATCAGTCCCTTATTAGCATATGTGTATCCTATGCGGGTTGCCTCGATATTACCTCTAGTCATAAGCATTATAAACAAAGATGGATGATGGTTAGGATTGGGATATAGTAAGTGCGTTTCGTCCCATTTTGGATTCATCAGCTGGGTGTACCTGCATCCCATAGTTGGTGTTCACTCGGAAACTCGAACCCAGTACAGTTCGGCTCAAATGCCATTGCGTTATTCACAGTAGCTAAATAGATAACGCGATGGCATTTGAAGCGAACAGTACTGGGTTCGAGTTTCCGAGTGAACACCAAATATGGGATGCAGGCACACCCAGCTGATGAATCCAAAATGGGACGAAACGTACTTACTATATGCCACTCCTAGCCACCATCCATTTCTGCTTGTAGACTTCTTTGTGGTAATTCACGCTTAGACTGATGATTGAGGATGCCAATTGAAGGACGTTTAGGAAATTTGTTGACCAGACTCATGTTTTTCAAACAATGCCGATCGCCATAAGCCCATAAGGGTCGTTACTGATGGTCTGTCTTAAACGATAAAAATGACTTTTGAATTCGGATCAACACAACTTTTCTATCAATATATATCAAATCAGTTGTATTGCATCCAGCCATGTGAATCTTCCAGTGACCTATTGAGTTATAACCACGTAAATATTTCTA